GGTAACCAACTTTATTTTAAAATGTCTGCAAGGTGATTCATCTCTTTTTACCAAAGATAAATGCAAGCTTCATCACTAGGCAACAATAAAATACAACAATTAAAATAAGATAAAATAAATAGCAATCTAAAAATGAAAATAGTGAAAAATAATAGTTAGTATGAGAAAATGGAGTTTTAGACCTACAGTTTCTAAACATAAAGAATTATGTTTAATGATCTCTAGCTTGCCTTGTGATTCCTAGGGGGCACAGGCTGTAATTTTTTTGATGAACTTGCTTGCATCATACTTCTAAGGAGATCCTTTGGGATAGTCACAGACAAAACCCTGCAGTTCGCTGCTGTCTAAACCTTACCTGTAAAAGAAATAGAAACTCGTGCTCCCCAGGTAAGTTAAAAGAACAGGTTTTGAAATTAGAGTCAAAATAAGCATCTTTAATTTGAAGACCAGAATACAATAATATTCAGAATAAAACATTTTAGAAGGCTTTTTCTTAATAAAGCTAAATAGAATTTCTTTTCATTTTATCTTAGTAATATATGTCTATGTATGAATGTATACTGTTATTACATAAATTGCATAATTAGATTTGGATGGAAGGTATTTGAGCACTCCAAGCTAAAATTTTCCTGTTTTACTTTGAATAAGGTAGACTTTCAGTGGTGTCCTGGATAGCTGCAGTTGTCCACTTGACACGCCCGGAAAGAATGAACCTCAACTGAAGAATTTCTTCCATTGGGGTGGCCTTTGGCCATGTCTGCAAGTCATTTTCTTGCTTGTTGAGTGATGTGTAATGGCTCAACCCAATGTAGGTGTGGCCATTCCTGGGCAAGTGGTCCTGCCTTGTATAAGAAAGCAGACTGAACACAGGCCAGGGGAGCAAGCCAGTAAGCAGTATTCCTCTGTGGTCTATTCTTGCCTCCCGGTTCCTGCCCTGAGATCCTACCTACCTTCCCTCAAAGGTAGAATATAAGCCAAATAAACCCTTTCTTCCCTAAATTGGATTTGGTCAGAGTATCTTATCATAACAATAGAAAATCTAAGTAGAGCAAATGGATAGATTGTAATCTATGTCAAAATTCCTTCCCACTTTTTAAAATTCTGTCTCTCAACATCCATTTGACATTAGAAAAGTGATTGCAGATTGTGAAACCACTCCCTATGCCTAGGCTCTAACCTTCACTAAGTTTTCTTTCAGCCCAGGTAGAAATTTCTCATTTACACATTAAAAAGGCACTTATCTCTATTTTCTATTTCAGCAAATAAACCAAGCAGTTTCACATAATTTGATCAAGAGACAAAATTATCAGTGCATGACATTATCATAATTAAATCACTAGCCTCAGTTTTTAACACTATGTTATATTTATGATAAAAAATAAATGAGGGGCTGTAGAGGTGGCTCAGCAGTTAGGAGCACTGGCTGCTCTTGCAGAGAACCCAGGTTCGATCCCCAGCATCCACATGGTGGCTAACAACCATCCATGACTCCGGTTCCAGGGGATCCAATGCCCTCTTCTGATCTCTGTAGGTATTATATGACACTTGTGCACTTACATACATGCAGGCAACACACTCATACACATAAAATAAAATAATAAATAATAAATAAAATATTAAAAAAATAAATGAGCTGGCTAGTGCATAGTAGACTTTGAGTAACTATGGCAAGAAAACCTTTTGGTGTAGAGATTGGATAAGAGATTTATGTAATTTAGCATAAATTTGTGAAGAACTGCTAGATGATTGTGTCTTCAAAATCCTATTGAAAGAAAAGATTTTTGTAGGCCTTTCTCCAAATATAATAGATTCCTATGACTTTGATTCAATATTAATAGATACTTGATGTAGAAGCAGATGTCTTTGTGCACTCACGTGACTCTGTATATACTACCATTAATACACAAATTTGTAAGCATGTACACATATTTCTTTTCCATAGAACTACAGGTTCAAAATGGTTGATGAAAGTACTAAGTATAAGGAAAAGCGACACTTTATTTCAGAAAAGTCATGCAATAAAATGTCCCAAAGAGCCAGAAAGCAGTTGAAGGCAAGCAGTGCATGTTGCACTCCAAGAGTTGGTAGCTCTGTGGTCAAGAAGATGGAGGAACCAAGCCACAATTATGAAAAATCATCATCCTAGATGATGAGTATGCTGCCTGCTTTTGTATATAGTTTTTAGAAAAGAAAACAGTTAATTCCACTAATCCTTCCAGATTTGACTAACCATGTATCTACATATGAGAGTATCAGTTTGGATGTTTACATGTGTTCTTTGACACTTTATGACACATTTCCTACAGTGGACCATGGCTAAAAATACCCTTATGCCATTAGCTAATTGAAGGAGGTTAGTCTAAGCAGTTCTGCAAACTAATTCATGATTTTTTTTAATTTTTTCTTGTTTTAAATTGTTTTCCTTAAATTGAGAAAGGATTATTGTTTCTTTGTATCCAATTTTATGAGACTGAAAACTTCTTTGCTCTGTGTTTTCCTCAATGCAAGCATAGATATCATTAGATACTCAAAAAAAAAATCTGTGTCAGGGTTCAAATCTGGTATAGAACACAATTATTTTGTGTGTTGGTATGTATGTATGTGTATATGTGTTTGCGAGTACAATTACTTCTGCATGAAAATGTGGAGGTCAGACATGTTGACCTCAATTTTATGAGGTGGGTCTCTGGAAGAACCTGGAGCTCACAGATTCAGCCTGACTGGCTGACCAATGAGCTTCAGGAATTTTCCTATATTGGTACCTCTAGCACTAGAATTCAAGGTCTATGTCCGGCTTTTATGTAAATGTTGAGGATCTGAACTCAGGTCTACCACATGCTTGCCCAGCAGACACTTTATCCACTGAGTCATCTCCCCAGACCCTTTAACACAGTTCTTTACTATAAAATGAATAGAAATTCTTAGAAAATTTTGAAAGTAATTGTCTACCACAGTGTACCTATATACATCTTAAATAAAAATAAATAATTTTAAAATCTGAACACATTCTGAAATACTTAAGTGCTATAGTTCATTATGCATTCTGTGCTATTCTATTTGTAAAACATTTTAGCAAGGTTGATTTCTATTATATATAAAACAATTCATATATTCTTCTAAAATTTATTTTAATTTTTTACAGAGGAAGAGAAAAAGAGAAACATATTACACTGTGAGATTTGGTAACAAGAATAATCATATATGTTATATTGTCATAAACATAATAGCAAAATTCAAAAGGACAGGTAAATCATATGACGATATTCCATTTCAAATAATTCATTAAATAGGCATTGTTGTTCATCCCTTTGGTCCCAGAATCTTGTGAGATAGAGGCAGGTCACTCTCCGTGGGCTCGAGGATAGCCTGGTCTAAATAATGAGTTCAAGACCAGCTGTGTTGATAGGGTGACCCCACTAAAAAAAGGACACAAATGAAAAAAGGTTAATGTAAGTCATATATATAT